CTGGAGGCCTCGGCGAGCGTCGGGCCCTGGATAGGGGCAGGTCGTAGGAGCATCTGCCTAGTCCAGCCCCCTGCTCACAGCAACCGTGTCATCCCAGCCAGGGCTTTGTCTGGTCGGGTCTTGAAGGCCCTCAGGGATAGGGATCCCCCCGCCTCTCTGGGTAACCTGTTTTGGGGCTGCACCACCCACCTTGTGAGAGAGTTTTTCCTCATATTTAACCTAAACTTCCCTTGCTGCAACTTGAAACTGTTGCTCCTTGTTGTGTCATCTGCCACCGCTTCAGAGCTGAATGGGGGGAAGGGACCGTGGAGGTGACTTGCTGTTGTTGGTGTTGCTCGCACTGGGGGCAGGGGGTGCTGGAGAGTAGGAAAAATATGATTTCCCTCCCTAGACTGTGGTGCTCAGGCAACGAGCAGGTTGGTAGAAGGGACTCATGGTTACATTGGCTTTGGAACCACAGCTGGTGTGATGTGGAGATCTCTTAGCTGGGCTCTGGACAAAGTTTCAGCAATTAGGTGCCCCAAGGACTCTCAGGCCAGATTCAGGCAGTCAAACTGCTGGACCCAGCCCACAGACTTGGGGCTTCACCTGCAGGCACTTTCCCCTGGCACTGCAAGGACAGGCGGCCTCCCATCCACTCCCATCTGACCTGGGGTGGGTCATTCCAGCCTGCAGCTAGAAAAAGTGGCCTATCCTAATCCCCCCAGCAACATCAATCCACAAGGCAGATCTCGAACTTGCCCACCTCTAATTTTACCTATTCCATTGATTGTCATATGAGGTTTCATTGCTGCTGTTTAATAGTGCTTCTCGTTCCTTGTATGCTGTCAGCATATGAGAACCGAGAGCCAGAACACAAATACTAGGAAGTCAGGAAAAGCTTGGTTCAGGCTTCCTGATGCATTGCTTTGAAGAATGTGACCATTACAAGTAGCAAACTTCTTCCCTTCCCCACCCCCAAGTAGCAAAGTCTTTCCCCTCTCCAGGACTCCAGACATTACAGTGACTTAGGAAGAAAGAGCATGTTTAAAGCAGCAGTAACCAGACAGATTTTAAGTCTGCTGCATTAAAGGTGCAATAAGGAACTTGCTAAATTAGTGTCTTATTCCTCCCTAGTAAATACTACCATTTTGTCTCCAGCACAAAGCCTGAGGATGCAATGTGGCACCTATTTGACCAAGTAGTATTACATGTAGTTTCCTTATTCTAGCATGTTGGCATTCATATGGGAAAGAATTAAAGTTACTGTCTTTAGTACCTTACATGTGCATGTCTTAATTTTCTTAAGTATTTTCTTTGTTGTTGTTGTTAAAATGCTGATTTTCTTTTAAGGTAGAACAGGTTAACTAACCCTTTCCAGTTTTCCACATTTTGAGGTTCTGTTGTGAGACAGGAACACTGATTTCACCTTAGGTTTGGTTTTGTTTTTAAGTGAATACAGGCATACCTTGGAGATATTGCGGGTTCAGTTCCAGACCACCGCAATAAAGTGAATATCGCAATAAAGCAAGTCACACACATTTTTTCGTTTCCCAGTGCATATAAAAGTTATGTTTACACTATACTGTAGTCTATTAAGTGTGCAATAGCATTATGTCTAAAAAAACAATGTACATACCTTAATTAAAAAATACTTTATTGCTAAAAAATGCTAACCATCATCTGAGCCTTCAGCCAGTCGTAATCTTTTTGCTGGTGGAGGGTCTTGCCTCAATTTGTAAAAAACGCAATATCTGCGAAGCGCAATAAAGTGAGGTATGCCTGTATGTACAAACCACGTATTGGTTTGAATGGATTTACTTCAAAACCGCATCATGGTTTGTGTGGGAAATCTTACTTGGTTAATTCTGATTTCACAAAAATATGTAACAAAAATGTTTCTGGGCCTTCTTCACCAGTTTCTCTGCTTTTAACAGTACCTCTAAAAAGGTGCTTGGTTTTTTGGGGGGGGGGGTCACCCCCTTTTGCCCCTGCTCCTTAGCCTCCTT